TCCATGCGTTGTTTCCAGATATGACTACACTACAAATAATTCAGTAATACATGTTTTCAATCAACGTGCCTATAGTTTATCGAGGAATCGATTTTACTATTTCTAATGATGTATGTTTACACAGCGGGCTAATTAGTTTGTGGTTCTGGAACCAGTTTCATTTAATTGGGCAGATTAATGTTGAGAAGGAAATTAGACGACAATGACAAATGATGAGGTAATTCACGCAGTCCTTGGTAACATTGAAAAACAATCAATGAGTTCAATAGGCTCACAAAATTTGACTTGGTACACATTTCTAAGGAAAATTCGCTCTCGAATCTTTCTAAGTTTACGCAGATTATGAACATCATTATTTTTTCTGACAGTTTTTAAACGTATGAAATTTGGTAGGAATGAGTTATTTAATAATGGCTGGTTATGGAACAAGTGGATTTTTAATTCCGAAAATTTTCGCTATGTCGGAATTTTCCAGTTAGCTGATTCACATGGGAGTGGATATCTTTGCGTTAAACCTATTCAAAGTTAATGCAAATTTGCTTAAAAACTGGTTCGATTTAAAAATACGTAATATTTACCAAAGAATTTAAAAATGCGAGGCTTTGGCGTCGATAATACAGTCATGCAATCGTACTATGAAAATTTAGAGTGCAGATTAAATTGTTTCATATTCTTAATTTTGAAACAAGAAATGATAATGTTTCAGTTTCACAAAGGGAAGAGGGAATCGCTTTCCTCACAAATTTGTTATTTTCTTCGTTTTAACATAGGAGGTATTAACTCTCTGAATTCTGGTAAATCTCTACAGCGCCCGTTATTCTCTTCTTTAAGATTAGAACAACAAAACGGACAAATTCTCCCCCTTTTTACGACGAGATAAGAAACGAATTCTAACTAATGCGTGATATCTACGCTTTGTTTGGACAAGATCCATCCAGACAAGTAATACGCAGAGATAACTGTCACGTTCGATAATCTTAAAGTGGACAAGAAATGGACCAGTTGTTGTAGGAGAGTGGTTTAAGCTGCGAGATAAATTTGGGGTAAACGAAGTAGAGGAAATAAGTTTACACGAGTTTAGGGCCTAAGCCACGATGGGCCAAATCTCCCCGACAGAGAGACAATCATCGCGGAGAAAGTGGGAGAGAAAGCGGAGTGGAAACAATAAGAGGGAGATCAGCTCAACTAAATTTATTTATTTTTTTATATTGAGCGTTTTATATCGGTATCAGATTATAAGTACTTTAACTTTAAATATTTGAAATTCCGGCTGCTTGTTCATACACTCGAAGAAATAATATCACCAGCGGTGAAAATATGTATCTCTACCAAACACGCCGCTCAGGAGTGATATAAAGTGCCCACTCGTGATAATGTTTCTAAGAGTGCGTAGGGAAGAGAGAATTTTTGTGGGATGTTTTTTTCCCCTGATGAATAGTTAGATTCTCAACTTGCTTCCAAAAGTTTATATCCTATTCGTAATTAATTTTCGGCTCAAATTTCATCAAACCGGACAAATTCCGTCCGTGTTATCACTTTTCAAAGATTTGTTTGCAATTGTATCACCAAAACCTGACAGGAAAATAAGAAAAGCAAAAAATTGCTTTACCTCAGCGTCGTCAGTGTAATGCTTTAGTATTAATTATTACGAAATAAGGGTACAGATGTAACAGTTCAGTCAAAAAGAAGTTCAGTTAAAAAATTACGAAATTTTGAAAATTATAAAGAAGAGCTAAAACCCGAAGTAAGTATTTGCTCAGTCGAAGACAGGATGACAAAGTTTGCACTTTTGTTCGGCGATGAAGCATCTCGTCGTGGTAGGAGGGGAGTGAAAGTGCCGTGTTCCGCCAACAACACCCAGGGCGTTCATCCCAAGAAAAAATCGAGACCAAACAAGTCGACTTTCTCTCCTCATGTGAACCAACTAACTAACCACATGACACCGACATGACTCTTGTTATTACTACACGTTTTGAAGTGAAAGTTCACTAGGAAACTTAAACAGACCGGGAGTATGTGGTTGGTTGTATGTTTTACTCGGTGTCGTACAAATTGTGGGAGAAAGTGTGACGGAGTAGAAAAAAAAGTGAAAGTCAAACTTCTCTGGTCAAGTCTGGTTTTCGACTTCCACTTTGTAACAGAATCTGCTGTTACTCTTTTTGGGATGAAAAGTTGTAAAGTGAAAGTTTATTTTTTTAGCAAACCCAATTTCTTTATCGGTTCTAGGAGATGGATACGATTTTTTGGGGGATGTTTTCAGAATTTTATTTTTAGGGGAAGTTATTTTTAATTTTTTTTCTGTAATCCACTTTCTAATCGATTTTTAAACTGATTTCGAACATTATTTTGAGACATGTTTGAGAATGCTGTGGTTAGTCTGGGAACTTTGTTCTTTGATTTTCTCCCCCCTCATTTGGCTCGCAGCAGTGTCGGCATTTGGTCTGGTTAGTTAGTTACCAAGTTGACTGGAAAGTTTGTTTGGATGCTATTGTTGATTTGGGAACTAAAGTAAAGTGGAAGACAACAACTTTTTGGCTAAATACCCGGGTGGCAGCTTTCTCCCCGGGGAAGGCCCAGATGAAGATCAAAAGCGAGAAAGTATGAATCGGCAGGGTGAAATAAATCTGGTGGGGAAATTGAGAACAGTCTTGGCTTAAAACGGGAACCCTGGCATGGAAGTAAAATACCATGCGTTTTTGAGAAATTTTGATGTACGATTTGTGTCTTTTTGTGTTTACATTCTCGCTTTTTGGGCTCCATATACAAATAAGTAAAGTTTTCTTATTAAATTAAAGAACAAAGATGCGCTTAATTGGTAATTATGAATAAAACAATTGTTAAATTTATATTTATTTAAGAAATCTAAAAAATAGTTGAAAATGCATCCAGAAAACATCCTTTAATGGATGATTTGGCAGATATTTGATCATTCAGAGGAATCACACTGGCTGGTCTGTGACATTTATAACTAAAATTCAAAAAACTAAAAACACCAAGTTTTATTAGAAATATGAGTAACTATCACAAGAACACTTTTGAATGAACCCTGCTCATCGCAACCCCAAATGCAAACTAAATAATAAAACTTAACCAAACTTTCTCCACAAAACAGGTCTGTCTTTGTTGCGGTGGTTGGTGGGGGGTCGTCCATAAATCAGAGAGAAAGTGGTGAAAAGTTGGGTGGTGCGACTTTGAAAATAAATAAGTATTCTCGTAAATCACATTATTATAAACGAGCAGAAAATTTGGGCGAATATTTTTCTTGGTAAGAAAGATCTGAAATAAATGCCGCAAACAATTGGAAGGAGCAATTTTTTATTAGGAATGGAACAGAGCGAGCATGGCACGAAACTTGTGAAATTTTGACAAGAAATTTCGAATTTTCTAGATGTTGAAGGTTAAACGTGTTGAGGGATGCCTGACAATTTGGGGAACGCGTAAATCCATTCATTTTCAAACTTTGAGGAACTAGTGACTATTAAACTATTTAATAAATTGAATAAATACCAGAGGGAATGTGGGGACAGGATTTTTTGTTGTTAATTGTGCTCGAAATCTTGCCAAAGGGCATAAAGCATAAAGATGAGAATGAGGAAGAAATAAAGATTCATATTGATCCGAATAACTGAACGAATCATGAAGTTAAGCGTAAAAAACATTAATAAAAGAAATCAAGTTTAATATAATTTAATTGGTTTAAAATTTTGACGAAAAATAGTTTTCGGCCACGTAATCGGACAAAATTAAGAAAATCACCAAACTCAATAACCTTTAATGAGGAAATTAAAGATCACAATTTTCAAAAATAAAACGTTATTTTCGCCGAAACCATTGTTGTCGTGGGGGAGCTTCTTACTTATTTGTATTTACTGACAATTATCTACATAAACGTAATATGCATTTTGAGTGTACAGTACTTGCCACTGGAAACAGTATTGTACGATCCACAACTTGCTTGCTCCTTATGCACCCATTGTTGTTTTTTTATTTCGTTAACTTTCCTCCTAAAAATATTTCAAGTTTATCATATTATTACAAATTCTATTAGATATTGTGAGCAACCTGGCTCTGCTGTATGTTATAATACATGCTCATAAAAATCCTGACGACGCGACAGAAACAAAGTAGTACATAAAGTGTCCAATATGCAAAAAGCCAAGTGTTGAGACCGGATGGAGAATGCCAAACCAGACAGTTTCAGGTTACGGGATCAGTTTGGAGCTGACCTTTCCCATATCTCACGACCAAGCAAACTCGACTATTCACACTTAACACACTGTATGATTACACTCTTAGAAATGTATCTAACTCAGCGCTGAGTTACTTGCCTGCATACACTGTACGGGGTATTAATAAGTCTACACAGAGTAAAGTGGCCAACCCTTCACCGGGTTTGCCCAAACTTTACTCTGTTTAGCCTACTTTTCTTGTGTTTACTCCATAAAGAGTTGGCAATGTATATTTTACTCGTGGCAGAGTTATCTGAGTTGGGCGGGAGGTTGGCTGGTAAGCCACAAAGCAACTCACTCATCCTCAGTTCCCACTCAACCGCCTTCCGCATACGCTGCGAGTGTAATTCTGGCAGTGGAATTTTATTTATTTTCTGACCCCCATTTAATTCTAACCACCCCCACTCGAAAATGGGAGCACAAGAATTGCAAGGACGTCTTCTGCAATTTGGATTACAAGAATACGTAAAAAAAAATTGAGGGTAAATAAATAATTAAGAAATTCTTTCAAATCGTACAATAAATTTTATTCTCATAAATTTGATTCGAATTTTCCGTCTTGCTTTCAGATCACAATATTACGGATGACGAATTACTAGAGCTATTTTAGGGGGGAGAGAAATGAAATTTTAAAATTGATAATTAATTAATAAAATTTTATATTGTAAGCAAAATTAAGTAGATTTCAAATTATTTGCATATACCGCTCTCACAGAAATAACCCAGTACCGAGTAAGCAGTACTCCTATGAGGGTTACCAATGCGCAGTGGACTGGCTGGAAGCCAACGAACATGCATTTCACCCCTCAAGAATGGACGTTACATGTATTTTTTTTCCCTTATGGCGATCCCCCTAAAGTGATTTTATTGGCTGGAGCTGCTTCTTCTCCGTGACGTCACTGGCGGGTTGGCAGTTTCGGCTGCAACCGCACACAGCACAACCACCACCATTTTCTGCTTTTCGTAGTGCATTTTTCCTTCTCATCACAACAACTCTCTCAATGTCGGCCAATTGATTAATTAATTATTAAACGTATAATAAATTAACTAAGATTACACGTATGAATAATGCACCAAGATTAAACGTATCAATAATTAAAACGTATCAATAATTAACGTAATTAATTAAATAATTAATTGAAATAAATAAATCAATCAATAATTAACTAAGATTGCACGTACAAATAATTGTGATTCTTCATTTCAAGATAACACAAATAATTTGGTAAGATTCTTATTCATTTAAGTCTCCGACTATACATGGTTACTTCTTCCAGCTTCTTCATTTCAAGGTGGCACAATTAATTCACAATATTTTTCCTCACTTCAAGGACCGTCTGTTAATTAAAAAGAGTTATCATCGTTCCAACAGTACACGTACAAAGATAAGGATTCTTTCTCCAATCAAGGTAAGACAATTAATTTAATAAGTTTTTTATTTCAACCTTCAAGATAACAATTAATTCACAATATTGTTCCTCATTTCCAGGAGGGTCCGTTAAGTAGCAAGAGTTATCATCTTTTCAACAGTATATGTACAAACTACAACGATTCTTTCTCCACTCTAGGTAAGACGATTAATAATGCAGGATTATTTATTTCAAATTTCAATGTGACAATTAATTAACGATATTTTTCCTAATTTCAAGGACGGTCCGTTAGTTATAAAAGTTATCATCGTTTCAATAGTATACGTACAAACTACAACGATTCTTTCTCCACTCAAGGTAAGACGGTTAATTAAATAGGATCATTTATTTTAACATCCATTTGACAATTAAATAACAACATTCTTTTTCATTTCAAGGACGAGCCGTTAATAAACAAGAATTCTCTTGATTTCAAAAGTATACGTACAAATTACAACGATTCTTTCTCCACTCAAGGTTAGACAATTAATTAAGTGGGATTATTTATTTCAACTTTCATGTGACAATTACGTAACAGTGTTTTTCGTTTCTCCTCGTGTGAACATTATTCGTATATTATTAAAAGGATTATTTCTCCACTCAAGGTAAGATTAGTGATTAAGTAGTATTATGTATTTCTACTTTCAAGGTCACACAATTAATTAACAATATTTTTTCTCATTTCAAGGACGGTCTGTTAATTAGCAAGAGTTATCATCGTGTCAACACGTACAAATGATAAGGATTGGCTAGGAAGGGGCCATAAATTTGCAAGAATTCTCCTCTTGTCCACATTACACGTGTAAAGATTGATTTTTTTCCTTGAAGGTTCGAATCTCAATTTAGTAGGATTTAGTAAGCTGTTTCGGCTAGGATGTATCTTTAGAATTAATTCACAGGGCACTAACTTGCAACTAAATATTTGCAATTTAATATTAAAGGACGAAGAAATCAATTTGTGGGTGACAAGCAAGGCTGAGTGCATACAACACAAAAATTCAATGATTCAACTAATAGTAATAGCAAAGTTATATCAATTAGTTAAGAGACATAATCAGCTATATAAACAATCTAAAAGTTTTGGTCAGACAAGAGCTCAACTTTTGTATCAATAACAATAGTAAATAAATAAAAGTCATCAGTTGATATTGTTCTACACTGTAAACTGCAGAGAGCTGATTTATTTCGTCCGTGGCATCGAATCATCATCGAATCATATTTTCATTCTATTCTTTATAAAAGCAGAAGCTGGTCAAGTTTGTCGGGAAGCTCGCGAAATATTTTCGTCTTCGCAATCGAATCAGTAGAATAAGACCATGTCAGGTATTCAAGCCGCGAGAGATCCAGAAGAGGAAAAATTTAATTGATTGTACCACCTTGAGAGAGAAATAGTCTTGTTGATTAATAGTTCAATCTTTAAATCAGTACACTACTGATTAATCCTACTTAATTAAGCGTCTAACCTTGAGTGGAGAAAGAATCGTCCTTGTTTGTACGTATATTGTTGAAACGATGGTAACTCTTCTAACTAACGGACCGCTCTTGAAATTAGGAAAAACATCGTTAATTAATTGTCACATTGAAATTTGAAATAAATAATCCTGCCTTATTAATCGTCTAACCTAGAGCCTAAAGAACCTAAAGAATCGTTGTAGTTTGTACGTATACTGCTAGTAAAGTCTGCTGTCGTATTTAGTAGCAATTATGTACCATATAAGAATGGAGATTGGAAAGAAAAGGATTATTAAGAGATTGGAGGGGAAAGAGAGAGGAACAACGGGAATCAAGTCGTACACACAAGAATATTTGCTGTTGTTCACACTTCACACATTGTTATTATTGCATTGCATTACAGCTCATGCAAATTACTACATTTTTAACCAGATTAATTAGTAAAAGTAATCTCATATTTTCCAATCACACCATTCACACAAACGACAAATATGCCAGCACAAAATAAACCCAACTTTGCATAGTTGGCTGACAATATTTTATCCCGCCTCCTCATGCGGCGTCTTTTGCCACGGAGGTTCGAGAGAGATGTAATCCCTCCGGTTATTTTCATATTTTCATCTCCATGCAAATTCGCCCCCTTCATATTCCTCCATATTCATCTCATTCCGACCAAACTTTCTTAGGGAAGAAAACCATGGAGGGCTGCATGAGGATAAGAAATTATCACTTGAACAATTCAGTGACAAGATTTTCATCAGGACGTACATAGAAAGTTAAAAATTGATGCCCAATTATTGTTACCGCACCTTAAGAAATGATTGCCAACGTTGAAGAGATGCAGAATATTTTTTTACCATTACCACTTGCTGCGGATGAGCGTGAGAGTGATAGCGAGACAAGGTAGAGAACATAATAAAATGTTCGAGTGAAAATTTAGTCGAGTTGAAAGAAAAATGTAAATGTGTGGTAAGTGAGGATAAATCTTGGCGTGATTATTTTCTATTTTCTTTGTTCCCGATTTTTCCTTTTTCAAAAACAACTTTTCCCTTTTGTGAAGAGAATTATCATGTAGGTATGTAAATAACGGTCTATTCTTACATTTTGGCTTTCGAGAGTGGATGACAAAGTAAATGACAAAATACGACTTAACTTTCATTGTACTGTACTTATTTCAGAATGTGATTAACTTCCCGACATGTCGTGAAAACAATGTACTTGAGAAGGCTTGTACTTGAGAAGGCTTGTTTTCCAGGCATAAAAAATCCCACTTTTGTCAAACACAAAAATTTCTATTGTCCAACGTTCGGGTGAAATGCAGCCTGAGTAATATTCGGCGAAAGTCAACGCGTATTTAATTTAAGTCCCTGAGATTTGTATCTTCTCAGAATAAAAATAAATTGTTATTCACCAAGAACTGAGATGAAATGGAATTTCTAATGCGGCAGATAATAGGCTAAGTTTTTAAAAATATTCTGCCTGCTACGTCAGAATTTAAAAAAATCTTGTAAACTGTACGTTCACTTTTCTATTGCTTTACTTTGATTCGGAGAATAGTTAAGAACTATGTACATATTATTATTTAAATCAATTTTAGGTTAAAATTCGTCCCATTTGAATCCAAATTGGCCGAAATATTTGCTTATCTTATGCTCTTTTTGTACATATAGTATTTTATTTTTATTCGCAACATGACAAATGACTCCCAGAGGTACAAACTATGAAAAATATATTTAAATTCAATTCAATTTTGATAATAAAATTCAATTATTCAATATTTGTGTTATGCTTCTAATACAGATAATTTGAAAAGTTTACTGCAATTCTGTTTCTTTTTGGTTGGTTTATTTAGTTGTTTACAATAATTTTATGCCGTTTTATTGCCAAGCAGCCTATTTAGATCATAATTAAGTGGGTTTTGTTTCACATTTATTTGTACAAGTGACAGATATCGCATGGCTAGGGATTTGTTACGTAAAGAAGGAAAAGTATTTTCTTACACGAGAATTCATGCAATTTGAGCATTTATGTAAATGTTACAAAAATTGCAATAATAAAAATAACAAAAGAAGACTTTATTCTTAGTTCTATCATGAATACCATCCTCCTGACAAAGTTTTTTTTAGGTAGAAAAAAAATCCTGGCTTTGTTAAACAAATATAATTTTCCATTGTGCGAGTTTCGACTGAAATGATGTGGAAGTCAGCTAGCATTTTACTTCGAGATTTTGATCTGGAGGGTAAAATGAAAATAAATTGCATATCACTTAGAACGGAGGTGAATCACGATTAAATGCAATTTTTTCTAAAATGCAGCAAATAGCTAACCTTTAGTTACATAAATGCTCTGTCTGTTACGTCAGAACTTGGAAGTATTTCAGGTCAGCTGCACATCTATTTCTCAGTCCGTTGCTTCACTTTCAGGTCCAATTTCACCTTTCATGTCAACCTTGCATTTCTGCCCATTAATTTAAATTCTTTGATCTCCTCTGTCTGTCTGGTGCATTCTCATCTCGCAAAATCTCCATCTTTATCTAAATTGAGTTCATGTAAGACGATCGATCGACTATGCAAGTTAAGTAATTCGGTAACAATTGCAGCAACCAAGTAGACTTTTGATAGAGGTACCGCTTCCTAACCTTACCTAACATTCTAATTCTTAGTTTGGACCAGATTGCATATGGTTCGTATCGAAGCCAAAAAGAATGCTAGGACCCACATAACGGAATATATGGAAATTTCCCCTTTTTGATTCTTTCACTTCCACTCTTATAATTTTATTACACAGCACTGAAATAAATTCCTCAGTGTAAAATCTTCTTAAAAATTATGGGCTAGGTAGAGTGGATAAGAATGCAAATTTTGGTAATATTTTTATATAATGTTTTATATTTTGGTCGTTTGTTTCGTATTTTGTGAGGAATAGCAACAGCTGCATTTTATAAAAAAAAACGTAAAATTCCCGTTGGGACTATGTAAAAAATATGATATGTAGTGAATTTGATTTAATAATTTACAAAGTCGAATTTCTTTTAATGTTAATGTTAATTTTAATGTTAATTATCACGATAATGTTGGCCATTTTTTTCGAAATCCATGACATATTTTATGTAAGGTGACCAGGTCAGTATTTTCCTTGCAAGGTCAGCTAGTGAAGTCGACCGGACTTTGTTGCATTTATTTCGCCCAATGTTGGTAACACAAACATCAAATCTAACTTATACATATATTTTCGATCAACTGGGATCAAATTATAAGTCATTGGTAAGAAATGCTACAAAAATTTGATAAAGATAGTTGTGAAAAAAAATCTACTAGTTCCAACATTGTGTTCTAAATTATGTGGAAACAGTGGGTTATCAGACCAAGTTCTTTTCAAATCTGTAAAAATCGGTAATTTGTGGTGAATTAAATGAGTCAAAAGACGTCATTTCCTTCAAATGCCTTTCTCTTTTCGTGATGGTGGCAACATCTTCCACTCAACGGGAAAGAAATGAGACGGAATTTCGTGGAAAATGAATGGGTGACATTGTGACAAAGATGGACATTGGGTCAAACTGGAAACTGGAGCAGCCACTCAATAATGACGCCACGCTTTCTCCCACATTTTCTGACACCTTTCTCCTCTGCCTAATTACCCAAGGCTCCAACTCGCTGAGTATAAAGGAAGTGTTGGATTCATGATTTCCGTGTTTAATTTAGAATTAGGGAAGGTTACAGAGATCGTCAATACCAAGATTTTCAGAATAACATCCGTATTTAATTTAATTAAATTAATTTTTTATTCCAAAAAGCACACATTTTGAGGAAGGGACCAACGAAATCATAATATTTTTTATCACCCACGTTTTGAACGTGATAGAATAAATAAATGTAATCTGAAAATTCGTAATCAAATTAATAGAACTGGACGGCCTTATTTATTGACAATTAAATTGTAAGGATCTGAATCCACAAATTAAATTCTCCAAGTTAAATAACGCTACTACATTGAAATAGGTCTAATTCTTGTTGTAACATGTGTGTTGTATGCTAACAATAATTTGGGGAAGAGAGGACCATTACACTCGTAACCCTCAAATTTTTGTTTATGCTTTATGCACTGTGAGTACGATGAAATTTAAAATGTTTAAATATGCATGTATAAATTTCTGTCTAAAATCCAAACTAAATTATGAAGTGGGGATGCTGACATACTTGGAAAAGTAAACCAACTTTTAGTGTTCATAATTACTCCATACTTTGCTCATTAGGATCTCATCTCAGACTTTATGCCCTCAACCAAAACAACCCATGCAACAATGTCACCCGGTTTTCGGCCTTGATGAGTGTTGTTGTTTGTTCATGGTTTGGCCATTATGTTGTCACTTTCACTTCCAAAGCTTACTTTTGCAATAACGGATCATGCCTCATCCCAACTTTCACGGGAGATTATTCTCATCCGTTTCAAGGGAAAGTGTCACGGAGAAAGTAATTTTGCTTGAAGTGAAACCAGTTTTGGTATTATGAAGCGGATGTGATCCATCACAAAGTATTTATAGTTTAGTTATATTTTAGTAGATTCAAAGTGACAATTTCGAATAAATAATTTAACCATTTTTTGCTCACTAGACTCCGATGAAAACATATCTTAGATTAATAAATTTACATTATAAAATTAAA